CCCCTCTAAGCCACCTCATCCTCTTTCCAACAGCAACCCAAGCTAATGCCAACGCAGAGTCCAGATCCTTTGCTGCCTACGGGGGAGGTCTTTTGAGTTCAGAGAATTTGCTTTTTCATTCAGAGTCATAACTAGCTCCCTGCCAAATAACAAGTCTATCGTGAGCAAGTTCACTCCTCAGTTCTCTTCTGTCATTTCTCTGCAACCATCTACCTCCCAGGACCCCCACCACACACACACACACACACACACACACACACACACACACACACATAGAGTCTCAGGCACCTGTGCCCCCGTGAATCACAGTCCTGGTCCTCTACTCCCATGGAGTTTATAAATGGCCCGATGTGCATCAAAACAGCCCCGCGATAACATTAATAACTCTCCCACTGACATCTGGGGGGAATAGCGACCCTTAGCAAAATTCCAGTATTTCGGAACATTGTATTCTTAGTGTGTCTTGAGCTTGTTTCTGAATCCAGAGTGAAGGTTTTGCTTTCTCAAGCCAATAAACACGGAAGGGCTGAGCTGCCAAAGCTCTGTTTTTTGGTAATGGTGGACTGTTCCAAACAGGCACTGCCCGCTTTATTTTTTAATTTTTAATTATTTATTTATTTATTTAATTTTAAGGAGGTTCCAAGCCCAATGTGGGGCATGAACCCATAACTCTGAGACCAAGTGTTGCCTTAGCTGTAGGCGGAGCCAGCCGGCACCCTGCCCATTTCCTGTATTTCACGTCCACGATTTGGAGTGATTGAAGTGAAGGAATCCTGTCACCGTACTTCACGAGGTCAACAAACGTGTAAGAGAGCACACACGTAGGGAGCCCACACACTGGAGGATTCTGAAGCGGACCTGCCATGGTGCGCTCTTTGTCTAGTCTTCTTGTCTCGATCCTGATAATAATGATGATAATAGTAACCGTAACTATTACTATTACTACTGCTACTATTATTACTATTATTGATATTACTTAGTCTTTACTTTCTTTTGGTCAGATGAAATAGCTCCTACCCCGTCTAACGCTATGCTACTTGCTTCCCTTACTATGGCGGCTCACTGAGGCTGAATGACCCGATGACAAAAGTAGCTGGCACCGGACACTCCCACCAAGGGACCACAGAGAAGGTACACCCACCTAATCACTTGCTTCTTGGTTTACACTACCATCGGCCCCTCTGTGGGGAAGCAGCATCAGCAAGGACCCCAGAGATCACGCACACCTCAATGCTAAGACGTCTACGCAGTCTGACCAAGACAATCCTGTGCTGATGGCCATGGTCTACAACCACGCCGTCTGACACATCATGGCCACCAAGCCCCTGAAATGAGGAACTAAAATTATAGCTGTATTCGATTGTAATTAAGTAAAATTAAAAGAGCTAGCAGCTACCACATTAAACACGCTCTAGACACACAGACTCACCACAGCATCTCCGAGTTTTTACCTTGTCCCTGAAATATGTGAATCTGATCATCCTCAAAACTGGGTTTACGACCATCACACTTGAGACTGTCTCTGGAAAATACTACAGTTCCCACAAGGGAAGACATTTTCTGTGAGGCTGTAGCTGCACAGAAAAGGCACAGCGGCTTCTCAGAGGACATGGGGCTGAGCTCTTCTGCAGTCACCAGGGGTTACTGAATTCGGGACAGGGTTCCCAGGGGCGGGTGTGAGCACAGTCCTGGCTTCTAAGCCACAAGCAAAGAGCTAAAAGAAGGGATTCTGAGTGGCTTGAAAGACTATCTTGAAAAACAAAAACAGTGGCAAGAAACCAGTGGGTGTCCTGTCGGCCTTAAGCAACTCTTACCATTGGCCAAAAGAACAGAACTAACTGCTGACTTGAAAGGAAAAAAAAAAAAAGACAAAACAAAACATGAGAAAAGAACTAAATCAGAAAATATCTGAGGCATGTAAGTTGTTTCCACAGACACTTCTAAGCAAATAGGCTGTGTAGGATATTTCAACATGGCTCTTCTGTCGTCCTTTTCCTCCCCCCTTGGCTCTCCCGATGCCCTCCACGCTCCATGGAGACACCGCCTTTCCTACAGGCAATGACTTCTGCGTGGCTATCCCTTAAGGGGGTGAAACATATGGCACACTTCTCTGAAAGAGTGTTTCCTCTTTGTGGAGTGTCGAAGTGTGGGGGACACGGGGCTTTTGGCTTTGACTGGGAAGGTCCAGCATCTGCCTGCCCCTGATCAGGCACAGCTGTTTCCTCTCTCCTGACTGTTCCCCTCAGGCACCCCCCCCTTTCTTGTAAAGAAAGGACCACCCTGAACAGAAAGGGCTTTCTATCCTCCCCTGCTAAAAGCCCCATATTGAGCTTTGCAAGGAGAAGGAAAGCGGCAAATACAGCAAGTGGCTTTTTAAAATCATCCGAGGATAGAAGGAAGGGTTCCGAAACCAACAGTACGAATTGCGTTTTCTGGAAACAGGTGACAAGGGCCACTTTTTCAAATTTCAGGGATTCCTCTGGAAGAGGAAAATAATTATTTTCCTCCTCAGCATCTTCAGGGAGAAACAACATTAGATGGAGCAGTTCCTTATGGCCCTCATTTTCTTTCTGTCCCCATCCAGCCAGCCCACGGCTGGAATTCTGCCCGCTCTGCGAGCTTGCTCTGGAAAGCCCTCCCAAACCGCAGGGTGTAATGAATCAACTGGAATGAGGACAAGAGCTAGAATTTCCAGCCGGTAGCCAGGGCGGCAGAAGAGCCACTCAGGTGAGGGCGAGGCCTAGGCCAGGGGCCGGAGGGGGCGAACGGGCAGCGGGGCCGAGGTGAAGGCCAGGCTCAGATGGACAGTGATGGGAGCTCTCTGGGGAGAGTCAGCTGCTAACTGGTGGCCTTGCAGCCCGGACAGGGCTGGCCTCCGAGAGAACATCTGCTCAGGAGGCCAAATTTTTAGGGAGAACCTGAGTAAGACCCAGTAAACCTCCCCATGCTGTCGTCTCGATCCCTTCATTCCAAGTACCTCCACCGAGCTGCCCCCAGACCCCCCCTCACGCAGTGCGTAGGCGCGTGCGTGACACTCCCGGTACACACCTCAGTCACACTCAACCACACACACACACTCAGAGGTTCCCATGGAAAACATGTACACAAACACAAGCGCACACATATTCACTGACACATGTGCACACACACACACACACACACACAGAACCCACAAACACCTTGAGAAAGAAACACATATGCTAATGTATACACACATACACCCGTAACCCCACACACTAGGCCTATGTACGCGGACGCATACCCCGCACACCTTCTTTAGGTTCGGATACAAAGTGGAGGTTGGGAAAAACAACCAATTAATTGGGCCAGGTCTCAAAGGAGAGGAAATGAAATGAAAAATCCAGGCTGGGTTATAAAAATAAGTATTTTTTTTCCAACGTGCAGGAGGCTCATTATATTAATTAAACATTATTGCAGTGAACGAGAGGGGGGAGGGTGATTAAGGCTGGGATGAGGGTAAGTGTTCTCTCCTGTTGCCCGAGGCCATGGTGATCTTCAGATATTAATCTCTCTGAGCACTCAAATGCTGAAGAGATAAACACTTGAAATATGAAAATGTTTTTCTCCAGAGCAGACGCTGTGACCCTCCAGGAAAGCAAGTGCAGGCTATGTCAGGAGGCCGGCCCGCAAAGCTCTCTTGGCATCTGTCCCACTGCCGTCCCCTGGGGGCAGGGGACACCCCCAGTCCCTGGGGTTGAGGGGCAGCAGAGCAGCTCTGGGGAACCCTGCAGAAGGGGGGGATCATCCCCCTTTTATTCTCTAGTGAGGCAACATCTGATTGACTAATTCCCAGAATGGACCCCTTTCCTCTCCAATGCTTATGGGGTTCCAAGGTCCAGGCCAGGGGTGCAGAAAAACGAAAACCTAATGCACGGTGCTAGAGCCAACATGCGCTGGCTTGCGAGAGCCGGCTGCTAAATTTTCTGGAATTTTGTGAGGCAGTTGTGAAGCACAGTCATTATTAAACATTAAATGACACAAAGTTACTGTTAAATAAGTTACATTAAAAATGAAAGTTCATAAATCCTCAAAACTCAGCACTTGCTCAGGATTTGGATCCATCTTGCCAGTCTCTACGCTCCTGAGGTCACTCCCAGCTCTCGGAGCTGTCTGGCGGCCGAAAACCATCTAATGGTCTTCATACACCCACCTCTGCCTCTGCTCATGTCCCGGCGGTAGCTTAATCACAGGGGACGGTGATGCCCCTGAAAGTGGCAGACATGACAGGCTGGGTGTCTCTTTCTCTCCCATCCCCGGAGAGCTGGGGGTTCGGCGCGGACCAGAACCTGCGATAAACACACGCTGCGGTGGAGAGAGGACCGGCCTCTTGCTTCCGCAGGCTGAGGCAAGCCCCTCTCCATCAGCAGGGTCCGCAGAGGCTGCCCAGACCTGGCACTCAGAAGGGGCAGCTGAGCAATACGCCAAGGGCTGTCTTCTAGCAACTCTCTTCCAGAAGCTGCATGCCAGGTGGCTCTGCTAGACCCCACGGGCACAGCAGCATTTTGGACCCTCAGCTTGGCTCGCTACCGACGGGATGACCCTCCCCGAGAAGTACCCGTCGGGCTGCAGGCCAGCGGTCTCCTAAGGAGGTATTTTAGGAAGAGTGGACAGCCTGGAGTCGACAACAGCCTCTGTGGCTCGGCCGGGAGTGCTTAGCTCTGGTGACAAGGGGACGCTGACTCATCCCGTCTCCTGAAGCCTCCCAACTGCTTCCTTTCTGCCTGTCCTTTCTTTCCTCTTGGCCTCTCGTGCTCCCTCCCGGCTTCCGGGCTGCACCGTTAATCCCAAGACAGGGCTAGGAACCACGACCGCGCTGTTTCGTAGGGTGACACTGTGAGCAAAGACTGGTGGTTTGTGGGCGCAGAGCAGAGGACTGCCCTGTGGTGGGAAGTTATGATGCTTGTCAGGGAACCTGGGGCCGGGAGCCCTGAAGCGGGCTGGCCTTAACCCTTTCCTCTCTGGACCTGCCGTGGGCTTACCTGGAAACGTCCGGTCATTTGGGCTGGAGCTGCCGGGCCAGGTGCTTCTGAGCCACTTGGCATGGTCGTACATCCAACCACAGGGCTCCTCGGGGAAATCAAAGTTGCAGTTGAATCCCGAAGGGAGCTGCAGATCTTTGTCTGAAAGGGGGGGAAAATAACCCAAAGAAGGCAAATGAAATGGGTTCGGACAACAGCCACAGTGGTGCTATTGAAAACGCTGGCAAAGCCTAAGCGAAGTGGCTCCCTTTGCTTATTCATTTAACTCATCTTGGCGATCGTTGGCTTTCGGGTCAGCCTTTGGTCTCATCCTTCCCAGGCACGAAAGCCAAGTCTGCCAGTGGTTCCCATAGTAAGCAATTATAAACGAGGCCACCAAATGGCTTCAGGCTCTCTCCAGGCTCTTCTGTCCACCTCAGAGAGCAGACAAATGGGAAAATGGCTGTTCCCTAAGTGCCACAGAAGAATGTCTCCCCAGTGCCTCAGTGGAAGGCCGGCTCCTGCCAACCGGGCTCTCACAAGGGATGGGGAGGCCCATTAGCATCCAGAGAGGCTGATGTGCCGGGCAGGTGCTGAGCCAGGGAGGAGAGAGTGAGCTCCGAAACAAGGAAGGCTTGTTTGTCCCCCTTCACCTCCTAGGATAGGTCTTTTGTTCTGAGACACGAGGTCAGCTCGGCATCCCTGTGGGACAGCACTGCCAGGTGGGTGATTTGGCACGGCAGGGCAACGTGAAGGGCCAGAGCAGCCGGCCGCCGGGCTCAGCACCGACCAGGAGAAAAGAATAATTCTGCACGGCACCGAGTGCCCGCGGGCCAAGATCCTGGGGGCAGCAGGGAACGCCTTCCTGGTGGAAATGGCAGAAGGGCCCGCACAATGGCTCGCGCCTTCCACTTGGTTGTTCACCTGTCTAAGCTGGAGGACTGAACCCAGAGACTTTCTTTGGAGGCTCCACTGAGCTCTAAAAACCCAGTAGGAGCTGGTGCCAAAGATGTGATGAAGTGCGGGCGGGTGTGGAGGTGGGGGAAAGAGGAAACGGGAATCCAAATTTGGAAGCCTGCCAGCAGCGGCCCCAGAGACAGCGGAAAAGTGCTGGCCAGTGCTAGTAGCAGGGAGGAAGTGGGGTCTTTGGCCTTCTCACTTCCCTTCTCAGGGTTCCCAGAGAGGAATTTCCGTGGGGAAGGTCTAGAATGCAGGTTAGGAAATCTAAAGGGAACAACAGACTGGTGGAAACAAATAGCTCACACCATGGGGGCGAGGGGAAGGGCAGCGCCGGCCACGGAGGCAGACTGCCACCAAGCCCTGGCTGTGCCTCCCCTTCCCAAGAGAGAGCATTTCACGTTTGCCCGCCCTTGGCCAATGTCAGCTCAAGTCCAGAAGAAACACATGGAATCTATTACAGAAGCATCAACCTGTGGCTTGGAAAAGTCGGCCCTTAGCCCTCACCCCCCTTCTCCCGCCAATTTCTGAATTTCTATTTTTCCGTTAAAAAATATGGAGTAATTCAATATACCATAATTCCTCTCTCATGTTTACACTCAGACTCTATCTCAGAAACCAAATTCCACAAAGAAACCTTTTGAAAAAAAAAAAAAAATTGGGAGGAACCACCCAAGAAACCTCAAATGAAACAAACCACTATAAATGGGAAAATTACATTAAACTTCTGAAAGCTTACAGCAGAACTCTTTAAATTTTCCTCTGGATTGCCATTTAGATAGAACTCCCTCCTCCCGCCCACCACTGGGCTAACTCTGCTAATCCCATACCATATATTAACTCCATGTGCATTCCACCGTGAGCTCGCGAACTATCTTAAACACGTCTTGGAAGATTCTCCAAGTCTCCTTCTCTTCTTCATAAACAAAACCAAGTTCATTAAAATGTCAGAATCCTGTATTCAACTAACCCTGACCAATGGTGTCCCCCTCACCCACACAATATACAAAAGAACATTCCTAAAAGCATATGCATTAAATTATCATTTTTCAGTCACACAACTTTAGCGTTTGTTTTCGGCTTCCCTCCCATTCTCCTCTGTCGCCATTTTCTGGAGCTGGCCACTCCGCCAGCAGAGTGGGTGGTGTCAGTGAGCTGCAGGTTCTCACAAGACTGTGCCATCTACCCACTGAGTCAACGCTAAGCTGCGTCTCCTCCAAGTCTCTCCAAGTCTCCCCAAGTCTCTCCACCAATCTTCCCTTGTTTTGACTAATGAACGTTTAATAAGGATTAGTAATTTACTGTAAGTGGAGGCTGTCAAGCCTTAAATTCTAGCCAAAAATGCCAGGTGTTCCAAAATCTGCGGTTTGCTAGGAATGTCCTCATACTTGGTGAGGTGATGTACTTTCGGGCTCTGCCGATTGTTTTAATCTTACTCGGATGCGTTCAGAAGATGAAAGGAAGGTGACACAGAGCTCCCCTGTGAAGAGGCTGATTCAGAACGAGGGGACCCAGAGATCTCAAAGAAGGGTTGAGGTGCTTTTGCACCTCCCTGCCTTTGTCACTGACCTGCGCTCACCTCCCATGAAGGAGGGGATGTGCCATTTTCTGGAGCCATGACTGTTACATGTTCTCAACCAGCAGTGGGCAAAGACCCCGAGAAATGTGGTCACAGAATGGTTACCTGCTGAGTTAACCTGGATTGCCACGCTCCATGGGTCTAGTCATCTCGATGACTACCAGACCTTCACCGGACTGTACAGTGGAGACACAGCTCAACCCAAAAAGGCTGAGGATTTTAATGATTCAAAGTGAAGGCTGGAAAGGAGACTTCTCAAACGAGGGGTCCTCTCCGGATGGGCACTCATCTCAGCTGATGACCAGCAGGTTCAAGCCTGTAGGCCGTCCTGGTTGGTTGTGAATGCTTCTAGATTGGTTGTAAACAGCCACTGCCTCAAGCCCCTGACTACCCGCACCTCCCTGACCTCTGATCAGGGGACATCCAGGTCCCTGCCCCAGCCAAAGGCCAGCCTCCTCTGATGGTCAGCGCTGCACTATCCCAGACGGACGGTGACTCACCATCCTCAAAGCTGCAGTTCTCCCCACACTCTGTGGCCTCCTCCTCGATGGGGTATGGGGTGGTGGTCTCCTCGCTCTTCACAGTGGGTCCCAGGGTCTCTACTGTGGGCTTCGAGTCTACGGAAAGGCAAAGAAAGGGGAAGTGAGTGCTGCACGCGGCAGCCTGCACTGAAACCCAGCAGAAGGAAGATGCCCCAAATGCAGTTTCCTTTCTAAGTGTAGGTTTTTAAAGGAGGAAGATGGACATGCACAGACCCTCACACGCGCGCGCGCACACACACACACACACACACACACACACTCACATACATCCCTGGAGTCACCTCTGTGTGCTGTCAGTGAAGTCAAAAGCATTGCCCGAGTTGAAGGAAAATAGTCCCAAGCTACAGAACAGCCTCCACAGAGGCAGGGACACAAACCCATGTCCCTGCAGCAAACTCCACAGCAAAGGCCCTGGGGCCAGCACAAAAGGCCAGGCGGGACCGCAATGGATGCGGGTGAAGCTGACCCCAAGGCAGACTAACCCGTGCTCTGGGTGTTCTGTTTAAGACAGAAGCGTGTGCGATGCACATGTGCGTACACCACACACCCCCCTCCGCTCCACCCCTCTCCCCCACACACAGTGAGTGGTGACCCTCCAACACAGTGAAAAACTCCCACTGCTTAATGAACTGAGCTTCCCGTGCACTGCCCCTTGGGGGGCTGCTGACGTGCCTTGCCGGCCAGTTCACCCTGCTCTTACGTGGAAGAGACGTTCTCTTTTCAGCCTTCTCTGACTCAGACAGCACTTTTTTGAACCAAAGCTAACTGACCTAGGGGGCCCACCTCTAACGAGATCATCAGAAGCACAGCAGCCAAAGCCATGAGTGAAGCCAGACCCAGCTGGGGAGGTGTGACCCCAGCCATTGTGGTTCGTGTTTGCACAAAACTGCACAGAAAGGAATACGGACTCAAAGGGACTCAGACTCCAGTTGGTGGAAGTAATTGCGGCTGTGCCTTTAGGTCAGGGTGTGGCAAATTCAAATGCTTTCCGCATGCAAGCAGCTACTGTAAGCCAGCGGCTGCCCGGGCTGGGGAGAGTCCAGGGCGGGATTGAAGGTGGCAAAGGATAGCTTGCACGCTCTGATTCAAGGGAGGCCACCAAGACTGGCCCCAGCACACTAAAGGCCTGAGGGGAGGGGGCCCAAGGTGGCCGGTTCTTGCAAAAAAAAAAAAAATTTTTTTTTTCCCAACACGAAGCCAATTCCATTCCCATGGAAGAGCTCTAGACTCGCCCATGTTGGCAGCTTATTCAGAGTACTGTCACCAGGAGCTCGCCGCAGAATGTGGCTGGGCCACACGTGGCCGCAGGCAGGCAGTTCTGACCTGGGCTCAGGTGATGCCCTCGCCCGTCCATTCATTTGTCGACTTGCTCCTGCCAGTCATTCATCCGCCAACTATTAATGAAATGAATGCAACAGTGGGGCCTCGCCCCTAGGTGGGGCGAGGAGGGATTCTAGTACCTGGCGGTCAAGTCCACGCCTGGGGGTGGGGTCTTCATCCCAGGGCTGCCCTCCAACGGGAGACTCCCCGGAGAAGCTCGTGCATTGTTCCGCCCATTTCTATACATGTTCCTTTGCACTATTGTGCGTGGAGAGGCGCCTTTGTCAGGCACACTTTGGGATGCCGTTTAATAAAGCCAGGAGCTGAAGGAAACGGCTAAATACGTTGAAAAGCTTTTTCACGGTCGACTTCCCATCTTCCTGCTATTAAATATGACGCACATAACCTTTCATACTTCCCTTCGTCGTGTCTGCCTCTTGCTCACGGTAAATAGCAAATAACCTCGAAGCGTCCTAATTTGTAAGTTCAAATTTGTCACTGTGTCATAGAATCTTAAACTCAATTGTAAAGCAAACTGCGGGCAGCAAAGCAAGAAGTAATCATTTGGAACACAAACAAACCAACAGGTGAAGCAGCCCTTTCAGATTATTTAGTGCAGTGACTCAGGCCAGCCCCATTACTTTTCCTGCTCTCCTTTTGGGGTAGGAAAAAAGTGAAGGTTGGGGTGTGGGGGGGAATGCGTCGCAGAGAGGAATGGGAATTTTAAAAGCAAAAAAGCCATGTGGCCCGTGGAAGCAGTTTCTGGGGGGGGTCAGGTAGCAAGTTGGTAAAGATCACGTTAAATCCAGGGGCGCAGGGGGCTGACGAGGCAAGGAGGCGTATAAAGGATAGTGAGAAGGCAGGCCGTGTCCGCTGCACTTTACTGGGAGCTCAGGGGTAACTGCCCGTCAAACTACAACGCTCCCCTCGCAATTGAAACCAGATGTCAGCGACTTCAAAGGGAAGGAGGCTGGGCGGAGGCTAAGAAGCCCCAACTCTGATCTTCCAAGGAATGGCCAGGCAGGAATTTGAAATGAGAAACCTGTTGCTGACCATCGCCAGGGTAATTTGGGCCAGCTTGGGAAGGGGGAGCAGTAAGGGGGAAAGGACATTAACAACTGTCCGGCCGGCCGTAAAGCGGGGCCAGGCTGGGAGAGACATGGCACAGAAGGGCACACCTCTGACAAGTAGCTTCCTCTCTCTGGGACTCAGTTTCCCCATCTGTGATAGAGACGTTGGCCTAGATCTGTGATTTTTTTTTTTTTTCCCCAAAGTGTATGCCACACTGGTTAGTAGGATGTGGGACCATTGTGATGGGTCATGACCAGCATTTTTGAATTGGACTGTGACATGTCAGAGTGTGCTCACATGGGGAAAATGAACACTGATCTGGAGACCTTTTGTTCCAGCTGCGTTTACTTATTATCGCAGGCTTATTAGATGCCAAGCTGCAGTCTAAGTACTTTATATCCATTATTTCACTGAATCCTAACAATCCTAGGGGGTGCAGATACACTATTATCGTCCCGATTTTGCAGCTGAGATAACCAAGATGCTGAGAGGCTAAGGAACTTGTCTGAGGCCATGCGGCCAGAGAGCAGCAGAGGAAGGTCTCGTACTTGGCAGTCTGTCCCCAGGGTCCAGCACTTAACAACACGGCCTAACTTATATGCACGCATCACGTGCTTGCAAGCCAAGTGGATTGTGATAAAAATTTCTTTTAAATTGTGGATCACGGTCAAAAATGTTTGAAAGCTCCCGGCCCAGAAGCTCCTGGGTCCCCTGCGGCTCCAACCCTTTGGTTTCAGAGAGGCCACAAACGAAGCCAGCTTGTATCACTGTTGGAGGGACAGTTTTCGCACCTGCAAGCAAACAGGTGACTCACATTCAGCAGGCTATAGGGAAACTTGGCCTTTCCCCCACGTGATGGTGAGTAAAGAATCTTCCTACTAAAATATGTCCGCTGGGCCTGCCTTCAATCCAAAGGTGAGAGAGGCTAATTTGGGCCCGATTTCCAGCCCGCGTGCCTCAACAGGGCTCCTCCTCTGAGCCACTGGAGACAGCACACAGGCAGCAGGCTCCTCCCCGGGCGCCAAGGGGCGCTTCTCCGACGTGCCCTTATTATCCTGCTGGATACCCTGTCCGGGGAGCCGGAGATGGGTGCGGCACAGGGGGGAAAACGGAGCTACCTGGTGGACTGAGAGGCAGGGCAGCTTGGATTGTCCGCCGCTCCTGTTGGCCCTGGGTTCAGGGGGCTCCTCTGAGCTCCTTCTGGAGAGCAGGGAGCCAGCACGAGGTAACATCTCGTACCAGCTCTGCCCAAGGAGATGTCAGGAGGAAGGGTGGGGTCCGACTCCAAAGCAAAGGGAGCTTCCCGGACACGGGGAGGGTGGGCTTGCGCAGGGGGCCTGAGCTGCCTTAAGGGGAGAGTTCGAGGTCTTCCCGGGTCTGGGCCACCGAGGGTGGCAGGGGTGAGGTTGGCGGGGAGGGGGCGGGAAGGAATGAGCAAGACTCCCGCTGCGCAGAGGGAAGAAGTCCTACTCCAGTCAGCTTCCCTACAACAGGGTCCCTCCTGAGAAAATAAATGCCTTTTACAGATGTGGCTTCGAAATGAAAATGAAGTCTCTTAGCCACTGACATCTGGAGGCCAGATTCAGACATAAACCGATTACTTTATTATCATGAGGTTTTTTTTTTTTCTTCCCTAAATCAACAGCCACAGCCTCCTGGCCTGAAGAGTCAGGGTCTAATTGAATTGGGGTGGGTGGTGTGTGGTTATGACTTGTTTTTGAGAGACTGGGGTTGGGCAACTGAAATGATCCTTTAAAAAAGACAAAGCACATCCCTTTGAGAAACTGTCCCCTCTTCAGAGGCTGTAGTGCCCATGGTTGGAGGCAGGAGAACATGGCAGGGCCTGGGCTGGGTGGGGTTTTGAGCTGACAGAGCCTCACCGGGGAGGGCTGTCCCCTCTGCCCATCCACAACCTCATGGTCTGACCTCCTCCCAGGGCATCCCGGGAAGCCAGGGTCACACGACCGTGTGAGCAGGACCCGGAGTGGGAAAGCAGGCCTTACCTGTCCAGTCACAGCCCAGCACCTCCAGCCGCATTCCAATCCCTGCCGGAGACCACCTCTCGGGGTACACCCGCACGTACTGCGCAGGAACGGGGTCGAATCTTCGGATGTCAGGGGTGTCATAGTGCATGTTGCCTTCAAACAGCTGCAAGGGAGATGGGCCACTCAGCAACCTCTTCTGTGGGACCCCCTCCCCCCTCCTCCCCTTCTTCCCGTTCCTTCACCATCTCCTCCCTGCCCCTCACACCCATCCAGAAGGCAGCCTCATAGTTGACTCACTGGACATTACAACCCATAGGAGCCCCATCCTCAGACCAAAGTTTTGATTCATTTGGAAGATAGTTAGGGTTCCAGGAACACAGAGAAGAGGGAGCAGATAAAAGAGGCAATTGCTACGTTCTGTCTTCTACCCTGGGACTGGAGATTGTGGACTTGGGGGAAAGACTTAGTCTCTGAATGGACTTGGCTGGAAAGAAGAGAAGTGAATTTCAGGCTGCTTTGCCTATTGTCTTAGAAGTTCTTGTTGTAGGTGTGCCTGGGTGGCTCAGGTGGTTAAGGGTCTGCCTTCAGCTCAGGTCATGATCCCAGGGTCATGAGACGGAGCTCCACGTCAGGCTCTTTGCTCAGCGGGGAGTCTGCTCGTCCCTTTCCCTCTGCCCCTCACCCCACTCATGCTCTCTCTCTCAAATAAATAAAATCTTGAAAGAAAAAAAAAATTCTTATAATGATTGAAAGTCTAGATGTAGAAAGTCCCAGCTGACTGACAGCTCCCAGGTCAAAACAAAGCTCACGTCGAGCCCCAGGACATGAACTGAGGACAGTGCAGCTGTCCTGGTCCAAGCCAGGTGGGGGACCCAACCCAGAGCACATGTGGGAGCCACTGACTTAGGGCGATGTTGGTGTGGAGACATGCCAGGGATTGGCTGAGCGGCACCTAGGGATGCTACCTACTTTGCAGGATCCCCACAATTCCAAAAGGGGGCACTATTATGGGGGAGGGAAGGCCCAGATACTGGCTAAGATCATCTCCTTTCCCAGGCATCCAGAATGATCGAGAAGAGCCAGGGTTTGTTCTTGCCAGGAAAACCCATGGTCCAGTTTGTGCTCTGTCCCCTGTGGTTTCCATTTACCAAGTCCTGAGTCTTTCCAGGCCCCTAAAGTGCGAGCTGGGTGTTTACATCAGCATTGCAAAGCCTCCAACCCTGCCCGTGCCTCTGCATTAAGAACGGAAACATTTGCTGAGCAAAGGGGACCAAACAGAGACATGAAATTCCCCCTTCCTTGGAAAAAGAGGCCTGCTCTTCTGAGGAAAATGAGGGTAACTCAGCAGTTAGGATCAGAATGCCTGGCTCCCCCGCCGAGATTGACCTGGAGAGGCATGATATCTTTTCCCCTTGCGGGGGGCTCCTCCATACCCAGGGTCGAGGGCTGACCCGTACTCCCTGATGGTGGGAGGTGTAGGCTCTGCTGATATGGAAAGTTTCTCCTGCCTCTCCCAGCCTCCGTATGAGAGGTGGGAAAGGTCTAAGCAGAGACCAGACTAGGAAAATACAAAGGAGCACTGTGACGTTCAAAAAAACAGTCGTTTTTGGAAATAATCCCCTAGGTTCTATACTGAAGCCTCCAAAAACGACATCCCCTTTTGGACGTCTGGCCAATTCCAAGGAAACGTCATCTGAAAGAGCGTGCAAAGGGTGTCAAACCTGACAGAAAGGCAGTGCAGGGTGGTGGGTCGGTATCTGGGCTCTGGAGTCAGACTGAATCGTGGCTCTCCACAGTCACACACTGTGACCCCAGGGGTGACACCGAGCCTCAGTTTTGTCATCTCTAACATGCGAGCGACAGAGGAGCCTTCTTCCAGAGATGTTGGAAGGATTAAAATATGGCGTTTAGCAGAGTGGAACAAAGTAATCTCTCAGTTAACGTTTGCTTATTAGAACACAGGGAGTCTGGTGACGACTATCTAGTTAGGAAGTGAGCATCCCAAAACTAAGCTGCCCTGTTTGGGATAGGGTTAGGGAGTCTCCAGGGAATGGCCTACCTTCGGCTGCTGGGTCCTGGGGTCCTGGATGTATTCCCAGTCTCTGCCGTTCAAGCTGTAGGAGACTTTGAACTTGCGCACAAACGCCCTGGCTTCCACGGCAGTGATGCTGTCTCCCCCGCGGGCCCCCTGGATGATGACGCCCTTCACCGTCTTGGGCACTCCCAGGTCCACCTGGAGCCACTCCTCGCCTGGCTGGGCCTGAGGGATCCGGGGGAACCAACCCGAGCGGCTGCTGACCAGGCGGGCGGCGCTGGGGCTCCACAGGTACTCGCGGGTGGAGGAGGCCGAGATCTGGGAGTCGGGGATGAGGCCCGACAGCATCCCCAGCATGTTGGAGCAGGGTGCATCTGTGGAGGGGAGGGAGACGCAAGGGCTCGTGGCTGGCGCCCTGCTTGACGGCCACCATCTCCCCTTAGCCGGGAGCTGGGAAAGAACCCGGCGACCACACGTGCAAGTCAGAACTGACGTCTTCGCATTTCGAGCACTGCGGTTACGAGCCCAGCCTGGGGGCCAGGCTAGCTGGGTCCATGTCTGCTGTGTCCCTCACTACCGGTCTGACATCAGGCAAGTGATTCAGCTGCTCCATACCTCGGTGTATCCAGGTGTGAGGGAGGGCTAGCACCAGAACTTACCTCGTAGGGGCTGTCGCAAGGGTTCCCCCAGTCACCACATAAATGGTCACAGCAGAGTGCCTGGCGTGTCTAAGCATCTCACTGTGAGCCAAGGACATGCATATCCTTGCGGTGACACCAGGCCCCCCTGAGCCTCCCAGGGCGGTAAGCACAGGGGAGCTCAGCTGAGCCCTGAGTTGTTTCCCAGATGATTATTTTCCTAACTGGATGGACACTTTTCTGGGATCAGGTCTTTGCTTCCACGTGTGTTTTCATAGCTTTTTACTACCTTGAGTCCTTCGCATATGCTGTTCCTGCTGCTCCAAATGCTTTTCCCCTCTGTCTTCATCAGGCTAAGCTTTACCTAAGTATCACACCCTCAGAAAGGCCGTCCCCAAACTTCCAATCAATGGTTAGTGGAGTCCCCTCTGCCATCATTTCTCCGAGCACCTGGTCTTTCTCCTTCATACACACGTCTTAGTTAATAACTATCCAGTACACAATCTGGTTATGATCCACACTGCCCACCAGCCAAAGTTTCATGTGGCTAGAGACCCCACCCTGCTCGTTCACTTCCCCTGTCCACTTCCATTCTCAGGGTGGGGCCTGTTGCACAGCAGGCCTCGGAGAACACTCGTGCAGCCAATGAGTGAGTGGCAGATGCACAGATACATGGTATCCGGCAGGACAAGGTCTGGAGTCAGGGTATGTTAGATGCTGCTGAACAGAGCCTCAGGTGAAAACGAGCCTTCTGGAAAGCTCACGGGGTGCAATCACGCTACTGGGCTGAAAGAGGGAGCCGAGCCCAGGACACAACCAGCTCCGCAGCCTTACGGGGGGCCCCCTCACCTGTGACCCGGCAGCCAAAGAGCTCTAGCCGCAGGGCGATGCCTGAGTGCCAGGTCTGGGGCCGGATCCTGACGAACCTGGTCAGGAGGGGCGTGTGCAGCTTGTTAAGAACCACCTCCGATGCGTCGTTGTTGGCTTGGAATACCTATAGGGTCAGATGGGAAACCGCTGTCAAAATCCATCTGTAGTGTGGCCGCTCACCCGGCCTTTGAAGAGGCTGCAAAAGTTCTGTTGAGCCTTATTTCCCTCAAGCTTATATTAATCAGTGTGTTTGTTGTTTGGGGTTTTATTAGGAGCACCATGCGGAAAAAAAAAACAAACAAAAACGTAATTTCTCACATTGTTCTACTTGAAAACAGTAACTGGTCTTCATAAAAACTTTTAGAGGAGAGAAAAACTTTGCCTCTGGGCTGAGAGCAAGCAGAAGAAGGCACCTTAAAAGATGGAGCAGAACGGTCATCTTTTTTTTTTTTTTTTAAGATTTTATTTATTCACTTGACAGAGAAAGATCGCAAGTAGGCAGGGAGGCAGGCAGAGAGAGGAGGAAGCAGGCTCCCTGCCGAGCAGAGAGCCCGATGCGGGGCTCGATCCCAGGACCCCGAGACCACGACCCGAGCCGAACGCGGAGGCTTAACCCACTGAGCCACCCAGGCGCCCCCAGAATGGTCATCTTTTAGGGCGAGTGAACCTCACTAACTTGAACTTGATGCTGCCCCTCCCTCACGGTGTAGGCATATAGGCATATTTGCAGGGTGTTTTTAAAGTGCTTCACGGTTGTTTTCTTAGTTACTTGGAGGCCTCCCTGCTCCACAAACAGGGGAGAGCACGGCAGAGGGCACCATCTACTCCTTGGGGCTCTATGTCAATCAACACTTTCTTGGTTCCCTCTGGTCTTTGTTGGAGGGTCAGGGTTGCAGGCAGTCTCTCAGAATCCTGCCCTGGCTTCCTCTTATTGTGGTCCCACCCCGTAATGAAATCCATCCCTGTCCCCATCTGACCAGTGCGTCTCTTAGGGGAGAAAAGGCTTTTCGGAGTAGCTTCCAAGCCACCATGGTAGGAGCAAGTCCTAGTTGACCAGATGGCCCAAATCAATAACTGCCATATGGGCCGTATGCTTTCCTGTGCTCTCCATTAAAAAAAAAAAAAAAAAAAAAAAAAAGTAGCCAGAGCAAGTATATGTGAGTTTCTGTTGGTTTTCTTGGCTAAGGGCAGAGGGAAAGACCCACTAACCAAGCAGCACTTCTAAATCATACCTGTCATAGCTCTAACAACCAAGAGACTGCAAGTCGACTCGGACTAGACACTATGATACCTGGAACAGGTGTGGTGTGTGGACACGGACAGGGCTGGGACCAGAGGACGGGGAAACTGGTCTGTTCCAGTACCCCTGAGATAGACACCATATAAACACAATTACAACCAAAATGCCTTGGGAAGTATTATTATTTGATGAGATGAGAAAAATTTGGCTGATGAGAAAACGGAGGTTCAGAGATTTCTGTTTGGATCCGAAGCCCCTGTCATGTTTTTAGGCTGTAGGATTATGGTTTCCTATGTTGGCTCTCAACTCCTGGAACAAATTTGCAGCATTTATACTGGTGGCTAGGAGTCTTGGAGTCCTTAAAGTCTCTGAGCCTGGGTTGAATGGAGGTGGGGTTACTCTTCAGGGATGTGTGTTTATAATCCTGACTTTGAAAGCCCTGAATTACAGCAATGAGCGGCACGGAAGCTTAGAGCTAATTAACGACGTGGGCCTTTCTTTCCCATGAACTGTAACCAGGAACTCTGCCATTTGGCAACCTTGAACCTTCCATATTTCCCACTTGCTGAGGTCAAAAGTTAGAGCCCTTAAATAGCACACGACTGATGGTGGGGGTGAAGGGTAAGAGACATCACACCTTTTGCAACCAGATCAGGGGAAGTGCCTTGCTTCAGACAGATGGAGCGAAGGCGAGGAGGAAGCAGGTTTTCTCCGACCCACCATATTCAGGTTAAACCCCTCGTTCCTGGAGCCTGCCCCGCTTGCTGTCCCTGTCCTCACTGCGGAGCCTCCCATCCCACCCGAAGGCCGAGTTTCTTCCTTTGCTGCCTTGCTAACTGCAGGGAACAAGGCCCAGAACTGCCTGACCACCCATCGCTCCCAGGTCTGATTTGGCGCCTTCCTCTAGAGTGACTGAGGACAAAGAGGGGCCAGAAGACAAAACAAGGGAAGAAAGACCAGGCAAACTGGAGGAAAGAGGGTTAGAGTCAGACACCTGGGGGAAGGCTGATGGAGAGAGGGGGAGAGAGGGACCCAAGACTCTGTGATCTTAATCTTGGAGAAGGACGGGCCAAGGGAGGAGACAGGGCCCAGGGAGACCCCGGTCTGGCCGTGCCCACTCCATGGCTTCCCAAGAGCTTATAAAGAGCTCCGCAGCTCTGAGGAAAGGAATGAAGGCACCGAATCCAAGGGAAAGAAATTAATCAGTTCTCCGAGAATTCAGCACAAGGCAGAGGCTTTTGTTTTTTGTTTTGTTTTGGCAAGCAAGAAGCAAATGCAGCACTTTGGTTATTTTGGGAGGGTGCTGTGAGCTGTGGGGGGGCCATGCAGGCCTGCTCCCTGAGGACGGTGAGGGTGACTGTGTGTGGCCTCCATCAGGAGATGCTAAGGAGTTCATCTGGGGAGGGGAGCTGGATTTGGCATGTGGATACATAGCTGGAGTGTTGAGTGGATTTGAACTTTAACACAGCTGCTAACCCACAGCGTACACACCACGCTGGCACCGTTAGAGACACAGTACGTCTTATGTGTTTTTAATATCTGATTTTATCTTATCTGACCCTTTCATTTCTCAGGCTTGGCAGACAATGCTAAGAAATCTTTCCTTCCCCTGTCCCCCCTCCCCCACTCCAGTAAGGAAACGACTATGTCTTTGCACGGCCTTTGGGAGGCTGGCACGGCTGGGAGTGCGGCTGCACCGGGGCAGGGGCGTGCACCCACGTGCATGTGTACCTGCCCGGCACGGGGGCTGGTCTTCTGCAGAGGCACGCACGTCGTCACAGGCTGGTGAGCCCCCTGGACCTCTGTGTATAGTGACACCCGTCAGAAAGGGAGGCGGGCACACGGCCCTTCTGCTTAGACCACCTACCCGGCTGCTCCCACGGCGTGTCATTCTGCCTCCTGTTTCGCTCACTCTGCTCCTACTCCCGCCCAAAACCACACGAATGCTTGTTCAATGTGGCCTCAAATTGCCCTCTGGATTTCTGAGCCTGCTTCCTTCTTGGTTTCTTGTGTGCCCTTGACTTTGCACTCAGATCTGCCCCTGCTCTCCGGACCCTTTGCGGAAGGAATATCAGCTTATTTAATCAGCTTTATACACTTTATAATCAGCTTTATACACTTCTCTGAGTGTGGCAGAGTGGGGGGAAAACCCCCCAAACACCACCAACATCATGCCAGGAAGACAGGCTGTTGCTGCTGAGCTCATGAGTGTGGGCAAATGTCTCTACCTCCCCCAGGCCCCAGTCTCCTCCTCTATGAAATGAATGGATTTGCCAGCTCCTTTCTGGCCCCCAGATTCTAAGGCTTTCTGCATAAGAGTTTCCAAGTAGAACTGTCCCAGCAGTGCCCATTTTGTGAAGGGTATTTTAGTTGTTCAGTGTCTCTTAACACCTAAGTGCTTTGGTGGACAAGGGCTGTGGGTGTTAATACACTTCAAAGAGTGCCCGGGACACACGGTGAGTGCACCACTCAGAAGGAGAGTACACCTTGTTGATGTTTTTGCTCAATAACAGCACCAATTATTAATAATGAAAAGTAATGAATAACAACACCTTAGTCCTTACAAACTGACTTTCACCCAAAGATACCAAAGTGCAATTTATGAAAATCCATTTTTAATGAAATATTAAGCAGTTTCTATTTCTCCTGACCCAATGGATTTACAAGGTCTCTATTTTTCTCCCTGCATCTTCCTTTTTATAGCTGGGAAATGCTATCATATATTATACATCTTTATGACTTTCTCAATGCTTCTGTGGTTTCAGAATCACCCTTCATATGTTTTCTGATCAAATTCTTGGAGATGGATTCTTGGCTTCTGGTCTAGGCATTGCAAGGTAAGGGGTTGTGTGCATGGGAAATGATGCCAGGAAATTGGTTTTATTCCCTATTCCCTGCCGACTCCCTGAATCACTATAGGCCAATCAATAATCCTTAGATACCTTGGTTTCTCCTTCAGGAAAATGAAGTTGATAGGAGGTTAGCTGATAGACACTAAGGTCTACCAGCCCTCCCTCCTTGCTTCAATGCCTGCACAGCCCCCAGGACTGATGTTAGAGTTGAAGCTACGTCATACCTAACACATGGGTCTCTCTGTTCGATGGGGAGGGTTCAAGGTCTGAAAGCCACTGACTCCCAAGTCCCACCTCGGGGCCCCAAATTTTCAGGCCATGACTTGACGGGAAGGTGTCCGTGATGCTAAGAAAATTCAGGGGGTTGTCAGCACATGGGACACCCTGATAAGCATATACCAAACGTGATGATCACATCATATCATCTGCTTTAAAAGCTAGATGTCACAGATGGTAGGCATGTTTGCTAATTTTTAAAAGCAAAATGCTAATATGGTTGCTTTATCACCCAAAAGAAAACCAGAAAGTGTGTTTAAGGTGTCTCTAGCCTTCTTAAGAGGTAAGGAAAGCATTGGTGGATGTAATTATTAGATTTTGTGTGTGTGTGTGTGTGTGTGTGTGTGTGTGTGTGTGTGTGTTTATGTTGAACACATAGATTTCTTCAAATGCATCTCTGCAAACCAAGTTTAAGAAGCAGTTCAGGGCACAAAGTGCTTTGGACAATCCATTTGGTGCCTTGCTGAATTCTGAACATAATCCAACACCTCCCAATTGATTCTTGAGACCTTTGGTTTATTTTCAGAAAGACAGAATCTGAAACCAGCAGCACTTCAAGGATTTTCTGATTTGCACCTCTGGAGGGGAGGGGACATCTGCCAATTAACTTGGCGGCTATCCAACATCCCAGTGTGGTGACTATCTACACACCCCACCCAGGAAAAGGAAAAAAAAAAAAAAATCAACATGCTTTGACCACGCCTACGAACTTCTCAGCAACGGGCTATAATACTATGTAGAATCAAAGGAGGTAAT